CATCAACATATTTTTTAGGGGTTCCTTTGATTATTTTTTCTCTATTACCCTCAATAATTGAGTATACAAGCGAATAGTCACGAGGTACTGATTCGAAAGGAATCCTGCCACTTGATATTTCCCATAATAAAACTCCAACACTATAAGTGTCTGACTTACTATTACGACTATAGGTTTGATTTTTCAAATATTGTGGATCAGAATATTCAACAGAGCCCAAACTTTTAACTAATGAACTTGTGGGCTCTATCACACGTTTTGCAATACCAAAATCACTAAGCTTTGCGACTCCGGAATGAATTAAAATATTTTCTGAATGCTAATAATAATAATATGATAATTGATAAATAAAGATATAAATAATTTTTTTTTATTGAAAATAATAAAATATGATCACTTACTAAATCTCTATGAACTATTTCATTAGCATGTAAACATGCTACTGCGCTGACAATTTGTTTACCAAGTTTTAATTTAACATCCCAAGATAATCGATTCTTTTTTAAATAACTACGAAGGGTACCACTATCAGCATATTCAACTACTAATATATATTGACTTTCTTTAAACATAATGTCATTAATAAATCAATTTCACCAGAACTTTGACACATTTGATGAAAAAGTGAATTTGAATCCAATATTAAATTGGATGGGCTATTTTTTTTGAAGATGAGAAGAAATAATTATTAAATTATAGGATTACAAACAAACACAAAAACCCATTTATATATTTGTTATTGTTATTTTCCTACCTGTCATATTCTATTACTTTTCCATGGTCTAATAAAAAAATGAAAATTAAATATATTTAAGTCAACAAGAGAAAGAAAAACAAATTAATTAATTATATGATTTCTTACCAATAACTAATATCTTATCATAATCAATAACAGTTCGTAAACGATGCGCAATACATAATATTGTACAATCCAAAAATTCCGTTCTTATCATTTGTTGAATTTTTTCATCCATACTAAAATCTATACTAAATAGATAATAATAATGTAAATAATAAAATTTTAAAAACAAGTAATTTCTCCTTTAAAAATTTTATTATATAAACACCTTGCTGTAGCTTCATCCATTAATATTATTCTTGATCTTCTCAATAAAGCTCTTGCTAAACATAATAATTGTCTTTGCCCTTGACTAAGATTTTTTCCTCCTTCACTAATAGGAGTATCTAAATTTTTAAATACATTAATATTATCCCCTGACAAAGTGAAATCTTGATTCGATTCAGATGATGGTAATAAATGAACACGTCTTAAAGATTCATAAATTTCTTCATCTTGATAATCTGAGAATGCATCGAGATTTGATCTTATGGTGCCTATATAAATATAAATATAAATATAAATGAGTATTTATTTTTAAAAAATAAATCACGTGTATAAAAATTATTTTCAACCTGAAAAAAGTATTGGATCTTGAGGAATAATGGTGATTCTAGATCTTAGATCTTCAATACCAATTGATGATATATCAATTCCATCAATTAAAATTTGCCCATCTGATGGTTCAATAAACCGAAATAAAGATAAAGCTATAGTTGATTTTCCAGATCCGGTTCTATGAAAATTATAAATACACAAATACATACAATTATATAAATTAAATAAATAAAAATCTTCCTTCCATTATATTAATATTTACCTTCCAACAAGTCCAACCTTTTCACAACCTTTTATATAAAAAGAGATATGATGCAATACAGGTTCTAAATCAGGAGCATATCTAACCTCCAGATTTTGTACATCAATAGCTCCATCATGTGGCCAACTAGCTGGAGGCCTTGGTTCAATTATTTCTGGCGCCTCTTGAGGAATTTCAGTGAATTCATGATATCTTTCCACCGAATTCAAACTCATTTCCAATGAAGTATACTTCCTCACACTCCACATTATTTGTTCAGTAAAATTCATCGCAAATGACAACGACAATCCAGCCAATCCGGCATCAACTTTACTTATTATTATAAATAAACCAACCAAAAATATAAAAAATGCACCTCCAATATTGAATCGAATAGATAACCAACGATTGATCAACCATACATAAAAAAATGGTCGATTGTTATTATCAATTCTAAACAATTACAACGATATTATTATTGATTTATTTCTTTGAAAAAAATTTTTTTTTAAATTATATAATCTGCCATGA